TTGTTTAAATATCTATTCAAATAAGTTCGTTGAAATTTTCATTTCAACTGATTTAACAACTAATTTTACAAACACTTTCATTATATCATCTTGCTTTGAAGATACAAGTCATAATAAACTATCAATTATAATCTCAAACTTCACTTATAAGCTATTAACTTACTAATCAACTATCATCATATTATCTAGCTTTGAAGATACAAGTCATAATAAACTATCAATTATAATCTCAAACTTCACTTATAAGCTATTAACTTACTAGTCAACTAGTTTTACTAAACACAACAAAAGTCACATAATTCGACTTATTAAGAGGTGTTCAAGTAGGTTTAAATAATTTCATGAGACCAGACACAGAGGAAAAAAAACAAAAAGGAAAAAAAAATGTATCATTTTGCATTATGAAAACAAAAGTCATTTAATTTTGTATGAAAACAAGTCATCTAATTTTGTAATTCGCCAAATAGTTGTGAATTTTAGGAACAATATGGTCAAACACAACGTAAACAATAATTATTAATAAATCGCACACGAGCAAGAAAAATGAAGTAAACAAAAGCTTGCTAAAAATTCTACACGAGCAAGAACAGTGAAGTCTACTACTCACTAACATGAAGAATGGGATGAGAACTGCTAATAGACACAAACCCAAATAAGCTGATGCCAAAAAATATTTCACATGCAATATACTACAATAAAGGCAAAGAATCATTCCATAATATTAATAAACACTACAAGTCACAACACAAGACACAAAATAAATCACACCAAGTTCTAATATAAATTACCAAGAAAACAAGATTATTAAATTAAACACATAAATGGTTAGCATATAAATAACCTAATGTGCTTAGGTACTAGCGGCTCCAGCTGCTGTTTGGCGTAAACCTTTGCTATTTCAGCCAATTCTAACTGTTTAGAATCAAGTGGATTGTAGGCCAAACGTAGCTGAGATTGGGTATCAACAAAGATTTCCTGAAGCGCGACACAGCTTTCCAACAAGTAATTGACTAATTCAAAATCACTCGGGCAAGCATAATAACCTAAAAAACGAAGAACATTCAGGTGCTGGTGCAGTGGGAAGTGCTTCAATCCCTTCTGAATTTCGTTGTTTGACCTTTCAGCTTTATACCACCTTTGCTGCATATATACAAGTGACAAAAAAATTAAGTTCATATACTAAGCTAACACCTACAAATACAAATAATATAAGACAACAAAAACAGGTAGTATAGCCATTCAATGATGACGAGACAGCAGGGATAATATTTACAAAGACCAACCTGTATCTCAAATTCTTGCAGGTTGGGAGATGCATTGATAAAATCAGCTAGGCCAAGAAGACTCGAGTCCACACCACTTAAATTACCAATGATGACCAACTTCTTAAGTTTAGGCATCATGGGGAATTTGATCATCGATAGAAGCCCCTGCAATAACAAATAAATGAAGTTCAAAATAATTGATTTGATAATCATTTGTGTATTATATGACCCACTAAATGAAGATTGTCAAATCAACAATAGGGCTCCATTATCAAGTTTCATATTTATTTTACAATCACTAAGCTCCATAAGCGAAAATTAAAACCAATGCAGAACAACACCTTACTCTCCTACGACAAATGTTCAAGGTGAGAATCTCCAATTGGGAAAGACAGCAAAGCAATGTAGAAATTAATCTCTCTGAAGAAGAACGCCAAGAGTCCGCAAAGTTCACAAGCACACTAGTAAGCATTGGAACGTCCTCAAGCAAGAGGCCTTCTATTTTATATAGTATAAGAAAAGTTAGTTTCGGAGCAGAAATTCTTAAGGATTTTAAACAAGTGCACCTCCATATCTCCAAATGCTTTAATACAAGGGATGGTCCACAAACTTCAAGACGTGTCAAATATTCGGAGTCAACGGACAATTAACTGCTCAAGCAATGGGCAGCCACGTAAGAGAAACTCAATAGTTTCACCAGAGACCAGAACACAGCCCAAGAACAATATTTTTATGGGCTTAAAGTTGAAAACTCCACTAGATTTGTAAAGACGGTCTGAACTGCATAACTCTTGAGGAAACACGTACATTTCCTCTGGGTGATGACTACCGACACCATCTGAAAGGTTCAACTCCAACTTTTCAGTGTGCCTCTCAAAAGCAAATTCCAGCCACTTCGTAATTGACTTTGTGGCTGATTTGACTAAACTAAAGCATATTCTTAATTCTTTCACAGTGGACCCTCGGTGTGATTGGAGAACCGAATCCACCCACTTTACATACTTTTCCCTCTCAACACTCTCATTGCCAAATTCTGGATCCTCCATAATCTTCTCCATCGAGTTATGGTCATCAAAGTTGAGATGTAAAGTGTAACTCCACAGGTTTCTCCAACGAGATGAAAGAACACTTGTTCGCCCAGCTTCTTTCAATGGGAGGAAAGATAGGATAACAAGGAGAATGTCATCGGGTAATCGACTTATGAAATTATCACCATGGTATCTCTCAACACACTGTCAAGCAAACACACGATAACCCACTAAGAATGCAAGAATCAACAAATTGTATTAACAAAATCTAAAATAAATAAATAATTAAAAAATTGGATAAAGGAAAAAGAAAAGAAGTCCAAAATTTGAAAACTGTTAGAATTCTTAAAGTTACCTCTTGCAAGCCCATTTCGCTGGAAAAGAGATTTATCTCCATCTTTGAATTGTAAACAGTTTTGTTACCCTAAAGCAGAGGATTGGCTTGCTCCTTTAGAAATGGCCGATTTTTGGTATCAACTGCCCGATGAATTTGGTCCCAGCCAAAAAAAGGAATTAAAAAACAGTGATCTCCGCCTTTATCCAATGAATAGAAAGCCTAGTTCTCTATAAAAACAATCATCAAAGGAAATTAAAAGCCTAGTTCACAGCCAAGTCACAGACTCACATTAGAATATACAACCTTACAAATGCAGGGAATTCTCAGACTCACATTAGAATTCACAAGTCCCAGCCAAATCATATTCAAAAGCCAACTTGAAGCCAAATCACAACCAATTCTACAGTAAAATCACATATATTTATTTAGGAGTCCCACCATCAACCAACAATATGGATAGGCAATTAATTTTCCAAAACCAGATGAAATTCCAGAATCAGTTATATATGAGCCTGAAATTTAACAAATCCAATTTCTAGGTCAAAAATGCAAAACCTCCTAAAATTATCTTCTGTCATCCATCAATAACCATAATAGAACAGAAAAATCATCAAAATACAAAGTGTTCAGATAACACATGTCAGAGACCATAGGAAGGAGTGTGAAAGTCACAAGTCACCGAGTACCTTGTAAGCCGCCGGTAAACTCGTCTAACGAGAGGAATGTAGACCTTCGAGTCGTCTAAAATGGCGAAGGCGCGGTGCGGCCGAGATAAGTCTGAAATCCCGCCGCGATGAACCGTTCGAAATGGCAAAGGGCCGGCGACTGAGAGACTGAGAGACTGAGAGTTGTGGAGGTGGGGCGCGACTGGGATTAGCGCGGGGGCCGGCGAGTGAGTGTCCGAAGGCGGCACACGACGAGGGTGGAGGGAGGAGAACAGGCGGAGCAATTTTTGGTTTGGTGGAGTTTGGGCGATTAGGGAATGAGAATGAGGAGTTGGGAATTTGGTAATATTTTTAATAATTGACGGGCCAACCCGCCCTACTCCGTGGCCCGCTTGGATTGGCCCGCAATGCCCGTCGCAAGACAGCCTGGCAAGACGCAAGCTGCAAATTTCTTTATTTTTTCTTAGCTTTGTTTAGTTATTTGGAGATTCCTATAACCTTAGTTGCAATTTATGTATTTTCCTTTTTTTAAAACTCTGTTGTTCTTCTTTTGGATCGTTCGAACACCAAAATCTTGTGTTAATTGACGACAATCAGTGCGGATTTTCACAAATTCAAATTAACGACACACGATCTCCATCATTGATACTTTCATTGAGGAAGTATCGATTGCGTCGAACAGTGAAAAGGATCGATCGGTTAGAAGAGAGTGTACGGTCAATCAACGACGATGTACAATCAAGCAATCAAGTGGTAGCCAGGATCAAGTGGATACTGCTCCAAACCGTTGAAAGGCGAGGGGCTACGACCCCGGTCGTTCATCAAACGAATCAACTAATTTGGAAAAGGAGCCCGAGTTTCATAGCGAGTTTGCGAAAGACGATGATAACCGTTCATGAGGCTCAAATGACGGGGGAAGGCGCAAGGGCGAGAGACCGACTCTACCCACGTTTAATAGGACGAAATCAGATTCTGGTTGAGCCGCGCTAACCAGTATTTCGAGATTAACAAAATACCGAAAGCAGAATAAGTTAAATTCACCTTTACTATATGGATGGGGAGGCGAACCTTTGGTGGCAATAGATTTTGAAGGTTTACAAAAGGAAGACACTCAGATCCGCAGGAAAAATATCGAAAATGAGTTGGTTACAAGATTTGGATCATCGGATTACCGCGATTACGATGAAGCCTTATCGCACATTATGGAAGTGGGTTGTTTACGTGACTATCTGAAAGAGCTTTTACGAATTGTGAGTCGAGTTTGCGATTGACCAGAAGGGGCACGTTTGTTAGGGGATCTAAATCCTGACTTGGCCGCTGAGGTGAGACTGGAGCGGCCAAAAACGATGCGCACATCCACAGAGGCCGCACGCATCGAGAAGACCACCTGGCAGCCAAGCGCACATGTGGTCCGTTTGTTAACTGCACGTTCGGAGTTGGGGACGGGGATTGATGGGAAACACAAGATCGGTATCAACTAGGGTTCAACGATTATCGTGGGACGAGATATAGTGATGTAGGGAAGCGTACGAGTGGGAAAAGATAAACGAGATACTCTCTCGATAAAATTACAATCAATTCATATTTTCATTTCAAAATCAACTGAATAAAACAATAGATGATGAGCCCTTTAAATAAGACTCCTAAACCCTATTCATAACTTGTCCAACAAGACAAGATCTCTTATAATAATATTTAACTCCTAATTTATTCTCCAAGATACCTAATAATAATGATAATAATAATAATAATAATAATAATAATAATAATAATAATAATAATAATAATAATAATAATAATAATAATAATAATAATAATATTTTTTTTGCGTCATTCTCCCCAAGTTGAGCAGGATTCGCCCTCGAATCCAACTCGTACCCGTTGGAGACATCACCATGACAAGAATAACCCGACGTTTCTCCCAATCAAATACGAAGGTTGAGGGTCGTCCAACAACCCCGAAGGTAAACATATTCCTGGGCAAGGACTGAACTGCTGCAAGGGCACATGTACATGCCTCTGTACGCATAACCCACAATGCTGAATTAACACAAAATATACCACATCGTTCGCTGCGGTCAAATACATAACTACGGCCAAACATCCTGTCGTTGAGAAACTTTGCGATAGACAATCGAAAAATGGCCCACCAGTTATTGAGCCTCAACTTCGGTTCCGAAAAACCATCGTTGGCAAAATACTCCAAACATCGGTTTGAATGACGACATCCCCGTCAAAGGCTCAATTTCTGCGACGTCCTACGCGGGACCCATATTGCTGCAAAAATATGTCTCCATCACTGGAGGCTCCTCATCGAAAATAGGCAGACCGTCGAAAAATAGTCTGTCATCTTCCTCGAAAACCACACTTTGTTGCCGCACATCTTGGTTGTTGTGCGTAGCAACGAGCTCAGTCTCGACGGGGGGAGGCAGCCACTCTCTGAAGGGATCCACGTCCGAGATGGTCTCCTCGTCGTCTGTATCGCCGAACAGCGGTTGTGGAGATCGCCGACGGGGCGCCCCGCCTGGACCACGACCTCCACTTCTTCCGTAAACTGCGCGCACTCCCCGGTCGCCGGCGGCACGGTTCATCTGCAAATCTCAGACCACGTTGTTAAGCGTCAAACGTAAATCCTCGATTCCCATCAAAAGATCTGCAAACCAATCCGTAAAACGCATGTCCAACTGTTGAAATCGATAGTCGATCTGTTGAAACCGATCGTTGAAAGTTGCATCACGTCGTTTGTTTGCGGCATCTTGTCGTCCCGGCGACGTCGCATATCATACTGACTGCTGATACCAACTGATGTAGGGAAGCGTACGAGTGAGAAAGATAAACGAGATACTCTCTCGATAAAACTCACAATCAATTCATATTTTCATTTAAAGATCAATTGAATAAAAACAATAGATAATGAGCCCCTTTAAATAAGACTCCTAAACCCTCTTCATAACTTTTGTCCAACAAACAATATCTCTTATATAATATTTAATTCTTAACTTATTCTCTAAGATACCTAATAATAATAATAATAATAATAATAATAATAATAATAATAATAATAAAAATAATAATAATAATAATAATAATTCTGCATATAGAGACGACAGGAGAAGGATCTATGCTTGGGTTGGGACTTTAAATTCTTGCTTGGCCATAGGTGCAAGGAGAAACATCCTTCTTCTTGATTGAGTTTGAGCAGAAGAGGAGAGGAAGAGATCATTATCGATGTTTTTAACGGTAACAATCCTGCAACAACTCACCATCCACCCAACCTCATATCGAAAAGCTCATAAAATGTTTGCTGGAAATTCACTACCTCCCTTTCGAATTCTTTATGGCTACATTCAAGGTATAATGACAAGTTGAATTTTGTTAGATGCTAGGGAGACAGTAGCTGTTTGTTGTTAGAGCTAAAAAAATTTGCTGATTTACTGGCCTTTAACATTTGATGATAGTTTCAGTTTAATTTGTTTATCAATAACTCATGTACCAATGGCTTTTATAGAACATCGACTGTAAAATGTCGGTCCTAGATTGAGAGGTTATTGCTCGTATTAATATAAAGTACCATACTCGATAAATGGTTTTTGTCGATTAAACAAAGTCTCATGCGCTTTCATAAGCCATATCGACCAAAGCAGAATTACTCTTTGTCATTAAAACCATGCAAATACATATGCATGAGCTCTTTAGAGCTCTTACATTCATTTGAAAGTTACCAAATTTTGTTCAAGAGAAAAATTCCTCTGCTTTCCAATTCAAAGTTACAAATTAAATTCTAATATCAATTACCATATTTACATAGTACAGCTTGAATTAGCATCACTTATGATATGCATAATGTACTTGTTCTGCCAGTGAAGAAATATCAAAGTAAAGCACACGAAAAATGGCACTGTGTATACTAAAAATCTTCAGAACTAATATGATGGTATTCATTTGTCCAGGAATACAATTTGTACCCGACAAAGTATCTTCTACAGTTTGTAAAGAAAAAAAGAACGATAATCTGTTCTGAAACTAAAAGCTAATAACGAAGTTCTTTTAGTACTCTAAGACCTACATTTTCTCAAACTGGGATGTAAGATCAATGAACAAATCTTGACTGCACGGAATAGTTAGGCCTCCCATAGGATGATTGAAACCAAATTCTTCTTCGGCTTGAAAAAGCAACTCTTGAAACGAAGGGTGGTTCAAGTACGAAACCGGGATAACAAATCTCTTCTTTTCATTTTCCCCAACATAAACAGCAAAGTGTCCTTTTGGGACCTCGACTCCTTTTTCGTTCGATCTTTTCTCAGACGATAAAGAGCGTCTAAGAATGCGTTGAATGGCCATGGATTTTGTTAAATGTAGTAACTAAAGCTGAAAACTGAGAGTGAAGGAATGAGTATGTGGAATTTTTTTGTGAATCAAGTGAAAAAGTTTGTTGTTTCTGTTGTTTGTGAGCTTAGAAATGTGTGCGTGTGTGTGTATATATAGATGAGCTTGTGAGTATCATATCTCTTTAGCATATAGATTGAGTGGTTGTGGATTCAAGTCATTATTGTTCTTGTTTTTCTGTTTCTTTACCAAACCAATTTTTACATTTGACAAAACCATGTGATCCTTCATGTGCTGATGCTTCTATATAATCGACTCTTCACCTCTCTTTACAAGATTTGACTGTGGCCCAACTCAGGACTTCATTATCTTGATTATATTCATTAAATAGAGTTCTTTTTTTTATTACAAATCATATTCAATGATCGGGCGACAAATCCATGTGAAATGCTCATTATTGTATTCGATCTACACTCACCACGAAATCTACGTATGTTAGTTTTATTGCAGTAGGGTCGTTCGAAGGCTATGTTGCTATAGTTGGTAGGATACAATTTGTTTCCATCACTCAAATTGTTGCTGTGCCTTAAAATCCTTATAATGTTTGAAAGACAAACAATGTACCCTATCAAATATATCAACAGGGCCCTCAAATGCCCCTACTGCAACAAAATCCAATATATAGGTAGAGTTTGTGATGAATACAGAATATAAATGGGGACCTTAAATAGTTTTGATACGCGAAAAATTGAACTAGTATGAACATTTACTTAAGTATGCTTTCTAGCTGAACCTTAAGGATTACGTATTATTAAAAGATTCAATTGACGTCATTATCGGCTTAATTTGTTAAAAATTAGAGAGTTTGAAGGACAAGTTCATGTGCTTTTGTTTTTCAAAAGAAGATAGAAGAAAATAATGATATAGCCACTTCATATCCTATTGCATTTACTGAAATTGGTGTAACTTTTCATATAGATTCACAATACTATTTCTGTAAAACTCATTTGTACAATTCTCTTTCCCAATGAACCTAAATCACAAAAATCAGCTCATGGGAGAGGTTAGATCGACGAATAAATCCTCACTGCACGGAATTGTAAGGCCGCCCATCGGATGATAAAACCCGAATTCTTCTTCAGCTTGGAGAAGCAATTCTTGAAATAAAAGATGGTTTAAATACGAAACCGGGATAACAAATCTCTTCTTCTCGTTTTCCCCAACATAAACGGCAAAATGTCCTTTTGGAACTTCAGCCGATCTATTTTCGCTGGATAAAGATCGTCTCAACATTTTACGGATGGCCATGTTTCAGTATACAAGCTAACTTTTTTATTTTTTATTTTTTTTTTCTGAGTAGAAATGGGAAGTTTTTCTTGATAGTATTATGAGAGTGAATGAAAGCAGAGAAAAGCTTGAATGATAATTATCGGAACAAAACGAGTCGTGTATATATAGAGAAGATAATAGAAAGTGATCAATAGCCATGGAAAAATACTAGGAATCACAATCACATGCATTTGTCTTTCAAACATTATAAAGATTTTAAGGCACAACAAACAGGTTGAGTGATGGAAAAAAAATTGTATCCCAACAACAATAGCAACAGAGCCTTCAAATGACCCTACTGTGATAAACATGATACTCAGATCATTACCTGGCAAAAACAATAGCAAATAAGAGATCACATGGATTGTCGAATATAATTCGTAATAATATTGTTACACACAAAAGTATATATACTTTCTAGCTAAACATAACCTTAAAGATTTACGTACCATAAATCAAAGGATATATTCAGATGTATGGGCCTATTATTAGGTTACATGTCATTATCCGCGGGTTTCAAGATGACCAAATCGAGACACTACATCGGAACATTAGCACGTGAAGAATCACAAGGACTTGCAGAAAACAAAAGCACGTGAAGAATCACAAGGACTTATTTTCGAGTATTGATGGAAAATTTCAAAGAATCGTCATAATGAATGATTTTGTCATTGTTGGAACTTACATTCCGTACCACCTTTCAGCATAAATCACCTCATATATAGGACCACAATGAAGTAAATATGATCAAGAAGGACAAGTACATGTGATACTTCATGTGCTTTTGTTTATCAAAAGAAGAAAAATAATTACAGCCACTGCATATCATTTTGCATCCACAACCACTCAATCTATATGCTTAAGGATTATGATACTCACGAGGTCATCCATATATATATACGCACACACAAACACATTTCTATGCTCACGAACAACAAAAAACAACAAATCCTTACATTTGTTTCACAAAAGGATTCCACACACTCATTCCTTTACTCTCATTTTCACCTTTAGTTACCACTTTTAGCAAAACCATGGCCATTCAACACATGCTTAGACGCACTTTATCATCTGAGAAAAGATCAAACGAAAAAGGAGTCGCATTAGTCCCAAAAGGACATTTTGCTGTTTATGTTGGGGAAAATGATGAGAAGAAGAGATTTGTCATTCCGGTTTCGTATTTGAACCATCCTTCATTTCAAGAGTTGCTTTTTCAAGCCGAAGAAGAATTTGGTTTCGATCATCCTATGGGAGGCCTAACTATTCCGTGCAGTCAAGATTTATTCGTTGATCTTACATCTCAATTGGGGAAAATGAGATTTAAGTAGATCTTAGAGCAGCAGTAAATTTTACTTTGTTATTAGCTTTTAGTTTCAGAACAGGTTACCTTTTTTTTTTTTTTTTTTTTTNTTTCTTACAAAGTGTAGAAGATACTTTGTCGGGTACAATTGTATCGAGGACAAAATAATATCATCTTAGTTTTTTTTGAAGAATTTAGTATACACGGTACCGTTTTTCGAATGATTTCTCTTTTGATATTCTTCACTGGAAGAATTAGTATGCAATGCAGACTGTGTCTGATAAAATGACTAGAAAAATACTTGTTCACTTTTTGCAATATTTAGTTGATTTTATATCATATTCTGGCTGTTATTCCATCCACAAGCAAGATTGATTGACAGTAGAAAAATATTGAGCTTCTAAAAAATAACTATTCGATTAGCTCATATTCCACACCGTGGTGTGTCATAGTGTTACATTGAAGATGGACTATAATTTTTTTTAATTCGAAGTTGTGTCTTCTTACCAGCGACAAATATTGCGGTTTACATGAACTTGTTACAGCCTTAGAGGTGATCGAGCTCTAGTTCTCGTAAAACATGGCATAGCAAGCTTTGTGTGCACACAAAACATCCTTAGAGGTGATCTACTGTATACCTTATTTCCATTTAATTTGTAAATTTATATATGGTATGTATTTTTTTTTCCGACACATTTATGCAATAGTTACAAAATAAATACTTAGGATTTTACAAACAATAATCCATAGATATTGATGTTAAAAGTCTGCCTTAAGTCTCTCTCTTTTTTCTTGTTTTTAGTTCATTTTCTTGTTCTGTTTTCGAATTTGACTTTGTTTTAAGAACCCCCATTTACTGTGCCTAGCAAACTTATTGAATTAATTGCAGCAAGCAAATCAAATTAGATAATGTTTTGCTGAAATTGGTGTAACTTTTCATATAAGTTCACAATACTATTTCTGTACATCTCCTTCCCAATGAAAAAATAAAATAAAATTGTCCTGCTAAAAAGAAAAAAGATGGTATACAAATCACAAAAATCAGCTCATGCGAGAGGTTAGATCGATGAATAAATCCTCACTGCATGGAATTGTAAAGCCTCCCATTGGATGGTGAAACTCGAATTCTTCTTCAGCTTGGAGAAGAAGCTCTTGAAATAAACGATGGTTCAAATGCGAAACTGGGATAACAAATCTCTTCTTCTCGTTTTCCCCAACATAAACAGCAAAATGTCCTTTTGGAACTTCAGTCGATCTTTTTTCGCTGGATAAAGATCGTCTCAACATTTTACGGATGGCCATTTTTACGTAGACAATAGCTAAATAAAAAATCCCTTATGAGTATAAATGGAATGCTTTCTTGAAAGTACTGTGAGAATGAACTAAAAGCAGAGAGATCTTTAAGGACTTATTGCTTGGTGTAGTCCAAAAAAGATCAGTATATTTATAGAGGTTTATAGAAAGAGAATATGCATGGAAGAGCCATGAGGAATCACATGCACTTGTCTTTAGGACTTCATATAGAATTTAAGGCAAAATCAACAATTTGTGTGATGGAAAAACATTGTATCCTACCAACTATAGCAACATAGCCCTCGAACGACCCTACTGCAATAAACGAAACATAAATATAATTTTCGGTGACCGGACGAAAACCGTAGTTACCAAGAAAAATCAACTAGAAAACGAGAATTCACATGTATTTGTCCTTCGATTATCGAATATGATCTGTCGATTCTGTCCTAAAACAATTGGATACTGGTGTGCAAGGTTGGTTTCGCTGTTTAGATGGTCCAATAAGTAACAAGTGAATTGTAGGGATAAATTAATGAGAACGAAATATTGCGTTACAGAATTTATTTACTTGAACTGTTAAATAAAAGCTGGTCCTTTACACAGGATTTCAATTCAAAGCCGTGTAGCCCAATTGTATTACTCTTATTGATGTTTATTGCTCATTCAGACATAACTTGATCCTAAATTTGCAATTGCTCATTCAGACATAGCTTAAAAAACTCGAAGAGGCACAAGATGGATTCAAACTTCAAGACTTACCCAGTTAACACTTAACACAAAGACATGAGAGATCACATGCATATGTCTTTCAATCATTTACAGAGATGGTTAGGTCAGCATATAAATAAGCTAATGTGGTTAGGTACTAGCGGCTCCAGCTGCTGTTTTGCGTAACCCTTTGCTATTTCAGCCAATTCTATTTGTTTAGAATCAAGTGTATAGTAGGCCACGCGTCGGTGAGATTGGGTATCAACAATGATTTTCTTAAGCGCGACACAGTTCTCCAACAAGTAGTTCACTAATTCAACGTCACTCGGGCAAGCATAATATCCTAAAAAACGAAAAACATTCAGATGCTGGTGCAGTGGGAAGTGCTTCAATCCCTTCTGAATCTCGTTGTTTGACCTTTCAACTTTAACCCAGCTTTGCTGCCCATACAAAGTGAAAATAAAATAAGTTCATATACTAAGTTAACACCTATAAATAATATACGACAACAAACACAGGTAGTAAAGCCATTCAATGATGACGAGATAGCAGGAATAATATTTACAAAGACCAACCTTTAACTCAAAATCTTGCAGGTTGGGAGATGCACTGATAAAATTAGCTACGCCAAGAAGACTCGAGTCCACACCACGTAAAGTTTCAATGATGACCAACTTCTTAAGTTTAGGCATCATGGGGAATTTGAGCATCGATAAAAGCTCCTGCAATAACAAACAAATAAAGTTTTTTTTTTTAAAAAAAAAATTCCAATACATAACATTATCAAAATAATTTCATGTTAGTACTGTTAATTTGACAATCATTTGTGTATTATATGACCCACCAAATTTAACCACGTGATGATTGTCAAATCAACAATAGGGCTCCATTATCAATTTTTGTATTTACTTTACAATCACTAAGCTTCATTAAGTGAAAAATAAACCAATGTAGAAAGACACCTTACCTTCTGACAATAAATGTCAAAGGTGAGAATCTCCAATTGGGAAAGACGGCAAAGTACTGTAGAAATTAATCTCTCTACATAGATATAAGGAGTCAAAGAGTCCCCGTAGGTCACATAAACACTAGTAAGCATTGGAACGTCCTCAAGCAAGAGGCCTTCTATTTTAAATAGTACAAGTGACGTTAGTTTCGGAGCAGAAATTCTTAAGGATTTTAAATGAAGGCAACCCCATATCTCCAAATGCTTTAATACAAGGGATGGTCCGCAAACTTCAAGACCTGTCAAATAGTAGGAGTCGCGGACAATTAACTGCTCGAGCAATGGGCAGCCACGTAAGAAAAACTCAATAGTTTCACCAGCGACTTGCATACCGCACAAGGACAACATTTTTATGGACTTACAGTTGAAAAGTCTACTAGATTTGTAAGGACCGTCTGAACTGCATAACTCTTGAGGAAACACGTACGTTTGATCTGGGACGTGAAAATAGTCACCATCTGAAAGGTTCAACTCCAACTTTTCGATGTGCCTCTCAAAAGCCAATTCAAGCCACTTCGTAATTGACTTTCTGGCTGATTTGACTAAACTAAAGCATATTCTTAATTCTTTCACGGTGGACCCTCGGTGTGATTGGAGAACCGAATCCACCCACTTTACATACTTTTCCCTCTCAACACTGACACTGTGAAATTCTGAAGCCCTGATAATGTTCTCCATCGAGTTACAGTCCTGAAAGTTGAGATGTGAGGTGCAACTCCACAGGTTTCTCCAACGAGAAGAAAGAACACTTGTTCGCCCAGCTTCTTTCAATGGGAGGAAAGATAGGATCATAAGGAGAATGTCATCGGGTAATCGATTTATAAGATCATCACCATGGTATCTCTCAACACACTGTCAAGTGTCAAGCAAACACACGATAACCCATTAAGAATGCAAGAGTCAATAAGTTGCACGTGATTTTCACATTAAAAGCTCCAACACGTTTAACCAAAGTAGAGTATTCAATAGTAGGACTGTATTGTATTGTTCACCATCTCCCACTGCTTCCAAAACCGGGCCGGTTAAGCCGGTTTGACTAGTAGGAGTCAAACCGATAACCGGTCTGTTGAACGATCCAATTTGCTGGAATGAACTAGTTGCCAGCGAAATGGTCAACGGGCGGTCAAACAAATCAGAACCGGCGGGTTGATTCAGTCCAGATTTTTTTTGAAAAAATTTTAGTAGATTTGAAAGTATTTTTAATATAAATAAAAATAAACATAATCAAATATAATGGATACATTATATAATGAATATGTATGAAATATTTATCAGTTAGTTTAAGCATTTGAAAGTTTTAAATTGTCAAAATAGTTTATATATAATGTTTAAATGTATAAAGTTATTACATAAAGTGTGCGTATATATATATATATATATATATTAAATTGTAAACTGATTCGACGGGTCACTAATCTGAAAGTAAATCAATAATCCAGTGGCTTCGTCGGTCCAGTTCTGAAAACCTTGATATCACCACAATTTGTTGTTGTTTCTTTTTATGGAGGTTATTTATAATAAATTCCATTTATCAAACAATTTTATAAATTGACTTTTTTTGTGGCATATAAATCTTTTAAGTTTATGAAAACAATTTTATATAAAAAAAAAATAAACATTTTTAAATATGACAAGAGTTCCAATATCTCTACTGAATCCAATTTCTACAAATTTCTCGCGAATGGAAACAAAGAAGTTTAATACTGTTAGCTATAAAATTTAATATGCAAATAAATTTAATTCTACATTATTTTATTATTAGTGATCACATTTTTTCATTATTAGTATTTTGACATATGAATATCTTGATAAGTATAATAATTTTAGGATAAAACATTGGATACAATCTGTACTATACATGCTTTTGAAATTTGCAATCTACAACACAAAAAATATTGTATGTTACTAAATATAAAAGCATGTATAGTACAGTGTGAAAAAAAATGATTTACCCATAATTTTATAAGATAAATTTGTATAATCTAACTTCCCGTTATAACTAAATCTTTTTGGATACTTGATGTCTAGTTTTTAATAGATACACAATATGTACGATTACATAATATTCGACAATAAAATCAATTTAAAAATAACTAGAATAAAATACAAAACTTGATTTGTACTTAGGACATCATATTTGCTCCCTACTCTAGAGTAGAAATTACTCTATTCTATAAATTCTGTAGTATGACTATAGTAAACCAAAAATTTTTAAATTTCGCGAGCAACATCTTACTCCACATTAAATATTCTCATTTTATTCTCATTATAATATCAAAATATAATTTAGATCAATACATTATTTTACACATGTTAAATTATTTAAGTAATCATGATATTGCTTAATTTAAGGTTAATTATTAAAATTATTTAACCAATTAAATAATTAAATACATCTCTAAAAATATTTGTTCAATTATAAAATGAAGCAAGCCCAACATTGGGGCGATATTTTGCATCATCACTCGAGCGATACACGCACACCCATTGTTCTACTATATAAAATCTCCATGTTTTGAAATCTGTAATACAATTGAGTGACTTCTCTTTTCTATTAATGAAGAATACTAGAATAGTGAAATCCCAAAATCAAGATTTTTTTTTTTTTAACAAGATAGAGAGGATACAGTCATTTTTTAAAGTTCCAATCTATTCATAAAATTTTCTCATGCTAGAGTATTCCCAAAAATAAACTTAAACTATTGTATGGGATGCACTCTTAAAAGTAAATTGTACACTATATTATGGTTCAAACTAAAAAACTGCAAACAAGGCATCATTAGACAATTCGATACAAGTCAATAAATAAAGATTCTTTTACATTCAACTGAGAAGCTATCCAAATAGAAACAGGTTTCTGAAAAATTTAAAATTTTGAATTATAGTTATTATATAGTCAATATGAATTATTAATCTTATTTCATTCTTTTCAAAAGCATGAAATCAATATAAAATTGTGAAACTCATATGAGCAACTCAGCTAACAATCGACATATCCAAGTAGAACTCACAGGATTCCGACAAGCTGGATAAATTGTATTAACAAAATCTAAAATAATGAAATGATTTGGGTAAGGGAAAAAGAAAAGGAGTCCAAAATTTGAAAATTGTTAACATTCTTAAAGTTACCTCTTGCAAGCTCTTTTCACTGCAAAAGAGATTTATCATCTCCATCTTTGGATTGTAAACAGTTTTGTTTACCCTAAAGCAGAGGATTGGCTTGGTCCTTTTGAAAAGGCCAATTTTCGGTACCAATTGCCCGATGAATTCAGTGACAGGCAAAGAAAGGAATTAAAAGCCAGTGATCTCCGCCTATATCCAATGAAGAGGAAAGCCTAGTTCTCTGTAAAAACAATCATCAAGGCTATTGAAAACCATAAAAGAAAGGGTAGCACAAGCAATATAGAGGTTCGTTTGCTTAGAGACGATCTAGATTGTAAAACTTCAAAAGGAGAAAAAGAAAACTACGGGATTGTGGCTGTGCTTCGTATCTTAATAAGACACAATCAAATGCACAAGTTACAACCTCACAAATAACATTAGAATTCACAGCCAAGTCACAGACTCATATTAGAATTCACAACTTCACAAGTGCAGGGAATTCTCGGATTCACATTAGAATTCACAAGTCCCAGCCAAATCATATTCCCCAGCCAACTTGAAGACAAATCACACCCAAATCTACAGTCAAATCACAACTAAACTTATATTTATTTAGAAGTTCCACCTTCAACCAGGAACATAGATAGGCAATTAACATTCCAAAACCAGATCAAATTCCAGAGTCAGTTATATATGAGCCTGAAATTTAACAAATCCAATTTCTAGGTCAACATTGCAAAAACTCCTAAAATTGTCTTCTGTCATCCATCAGTAACCATAATATAACGGCAAAATCATCAAAACACGAAGAGTTAAAGATAACACATGTCAGAGAACAAAGGAGGGAGAGTGAATGTCACAAGTCACCCAGTACCTTGCAAGCTGCCGGTGAACTCGTCTAACGAGAGGAATGAGGACCTTCGAGTCGTCTGAAATGCCAAAGGCGCAGTGCGCCCTAGATGCGTCTGAAATCCCGGCACGATGAACCCGTCCGAACTGGCAAAGGGCCGGCGACTGAGAGACTGAGAGTTGTGGAGGTGGGGATAGACTGAGAGTTGTGGAGGTGGGGACAGACTGAGACTAGCGCGAGGGCCGGCAAGTGAGTGTCCGACGGTGGTGCACGACGAGGGCGGAGGTAGGAGAAAGTGAGAAACGGACGGATCAAGTTTTGGTTTGGTGGAGTTTGGGCGACTAGGGAATGAGAATAAAGAGTCGGGTAATTCGGTATTTATAGGACTACAAGTTTAACGCTTAAAAACCCGACAGAATAGTCAGGGAATTCATAGGAGTAAACGTCTAACGTTTAAAAATCCGACAGAATAGTTCGGAGACTGTATTATTTTCTAATATTATTAATATATATATGAGGGCTAATATTATTTAATATATATGGGGGCTCTTACTTATATATATAAGGGCTTATATAAGGCCTGATCAAATGAATACACCTCTTAACTATTGATTTAGTGTTGATTAATAGCTGTATTAAGTAATAATATAATAAGAATATTACTATTATATTTAAATTAATTATATAATAAAAAAATAGGGAAACTTGGCTCACTACCATTAAAAGATTAGATCTTTAGAAAAGTATCATCGAAAGATTGAGCTGTTGGAAACTACCATCGAAAAATTTGTCTTTAGCAGACTTTTACCATTCCGTTAACTCAACGTTAGTTAAAAGAATAAAAAAAACAGATCAACGCACGCAGCCTTGGCTGGCCCAAACACAAACACGCTTCCTGGCCCAACGCACGCAGCTGTTCGCACGAGTGCCTGGCCGCAAGCACGCGACCTCGTGCGGCGCTCCTCTCGTCGGCGGCGACGCTCTTCCCCTCGTCGACAACGGCAGCGGCGGCGACTCTCATACTCTTCCTCTATGGTGCCTCCCTCTCTCTACTTATATTTTCTCTATTCTGCATTGTTCTTGTGTTCTTCTTTCATGGTCTAAACCCTAGGTATTGGGGATTCTGTAGTACTGTGACAAGGGATTGAGGATTTGAGAGAAGATGGATGCTACTAAAATTTCAAATGGGTAATTTCCTTTGAGACACTATATATTCTTCCAATTTGTATCTATTTTGCTCGGATTTGAGTGTGCACATGGCTAAATGAATCTCAGTTTTTTTTTTGTGAATTGGACCTTATTTTTTCCTCTTTGTTCCATGTGTTTTGAGTTGCATATCACAGGATTGATCCAAAAAATGCTTGTAGAGTAGAGGTCACTGTGAACTCATACTTCAGTATTATAAATGGTAAAAAGATCTACAATAGGGGCAGAGATGTAGGCTGGGTTGTTGATTCAGAAACATATTCAGTTAGTAATCTAGAGAAGGATATTGCTTCACACTTTACATGGGACAACAACCAGCAGGCATATTTCTGGGTTGTAAAAGGGATGCATTGGACATGCCAGTTAATTTCAGATGATCAGCTCCGTAGCTTGCTAATGGCATCTCAGTTGGTGAAATTTGTGATGATAGTGGGCAGTCGTGTGGAGAGGGATGAGATGCCTCCTACAGTGAATATGGATGCCGAGGGTATGCCTAATGAAGTGCCAGTTGTTGAGAAGAAGATGGAATTTAAGGGATTTGAATGGACAGAAGTACCACAATATGGACAAACCACAGCAGGACCACCAATGCCTGGAGAGGAGGAGCAGGAGCACTTCATGACTGTTGGCTGTGACCCTAATGGGGATGATCCAACCGGAGTAGACGAAGAATGGAGATACTTCAAACCAGTTGATGCTGCAGTTAATGATGCACAACCTGCAGAAAATATTGAAGTAGTGGTACAGAAAAAAAAATAAAATAAAAAAAATAATAATAATAAAAAAAAAGAGGACAAGGTCTGTTCTGGACTTTGATTCAGAATGTGTTCATGATGATGAGGCTACTATGATAGATGATTATGCTGCACCTCTCACAACACATGACAAAGAGAATCCGGTCATTAAAGAAAGAGATACATTTGGAAACAAGGACGAGTTCATCATGACCTTGAGGACATATGCCATAAAAAATGACTTTGGCACTAGGGTTGAACATAGTGACACAGAGAGGCACAGGGCAAGGTGTGCAGATGCAAACTGCGATTGGAGAATTTATGCAAAGAAACTTCATGGTTGTGACATATTCATGGTATTTTTTCTTTATAGCTTATCATCTAGTATTCGTTGTAGAGTGATAAATTTTTTGCAATGTTTAACTTCTTATAATCTTATTTATTTGCAGGTGGTGAAACTCTCAAAATTGGATGATCACACTTGTCCTAATTCAACAACTATGAAAGGCCATCAAGCTTCTACATGTTGGATATCTCAAAGAGCCAAAGAAATTATGGTAGAAGATCCCACCCTTAGCGCAAAGAAGTTACAAAGAAGATTGGAGAAGCATTACAATATTGAGTTGTCATATTTTAAAGTGTGGTCTGGGAAGAAATCAGCAATGGATGATATTCATGGTACTTGGGAGGACAGTTTCACAATGTTATGGAGATTCAAAGCAGCTGTAGAAGAAACTTGCCCAGGAAGCATTGTTGAGATTGATTGCAAGAAGATCGATGGCAAAATTCATTTCTCAAGAATGTTTGTGTGCATTAGAGTATGTGTTGATGGTTTTTTGTCTGGGTGCCGGCCATATCTTGGTTTCGATTCTATTCACTTGACTGGAAAGTATAATGGACAATTGGCTGCAGCAAATGCAATTGATGGACACAACTGGATGTATCCAGTTGCGTATGGGATTTTTGGGAAGGAAACAAATGCCAATTGGGCATGGTTCATGGCAAACCTGAAGAAAGCAATTGGTACTCCAGCTGGGTTGACAATACATACTGATGCGTGCAAAGGATTAGCATATGATGTCAATAAAGTGTTCAAAGGTGATGCAGAACACCGTGAGTGTTTTAGACACCTAATGGCTAATTTTAGAAAGAATTTCAAAGGTGAGGTGATGAAATACATGTGTCCTTGTGCATGGGCATGTACAGCTCGAAGGCATGACGCATTGTTAGAGAAAATTGCAGCTGAATGTCCTAAAGCAATTCCCTTTTAAAACAACCATCACAAGCAGATATGGAGTAGATCTAAATTCTCCAAAGAATGCAAAGTTGATTATGTTAACAACAACATATCTGAAAGCTTCAATAATTGGATTAAGGATTATAAAGACCTTCCAGTTGTTGATCTAATGGATACAATCAGAGTGAAGATCATGGAGAAGATCTACACAAGGCAATAGATAGCTAGTAGACTTCAAGGGCGCATCCTCCCTAGTGTGATACATGAGCTTAACATGAAGAGCCGAGGGCTGCACTATGACATCAACAAAAGTGGTCCCATGTCTGCTGAAATTTTAGGAACAACGAAGGAAAGGAAAACTTGGAGGTATAGTGTTGACCTTGCCAAAAGAGAATGTGGTTGTGGACAATGGGAGGTGTCTGGAAAACCATGCACTCATGCTATATACTTATTTGGGAAACTGAGGCAAGTAAACATTGAGGACTTTGTACATGATTACTATTCTGTAGAGAGATTCAAGATGACTTATCAATTTCAGATCACTCAAATGAATGACAAGTCTAAATGGCCAAAGGTCGATCCTGGATTTGAAATGATTCCTCCACCGCTACAAAGGGTTGCTGGCAGACCAAGGAAACAAAGAATAAAGGCTAAAGGAGAGCCAGGAAAAAGAGGACCATACCAATGCAAAAGGTGTTTTCAGTTTGGACATATAGAGAAGGGTTGTAATGCTACTCAAGCTGAATTAGAACAAGAACTTCCACCACCTCGTCCGAAAAAAGGGAAAAAACCAAGGTAATGTAATATTATGTAATATTTGTTTCTTTTACGTGATCGAAAGTTTTACTAATCCAAGTTCTCAGGATAAACAAATCTGAAGCCGTTGGAGCCTCCACAATTGATGCTGGGACCTCCAAAGCTGCTGCTGAACCCTCTCCAACGCCACATTTAAGCCCAAGAGTAACAACTAGAAGAATGTCATCTCTTTCTCCAACTAGCCCAGGTGTAACAACTAGAAGGATGGCCGCAATCTCACCTGTTGGAATCAATTGGAGGCTCATCATTGAGTAGATGAACTAGCTATATTAGTGCTTTAGTATGTGAACCATGGTCTTGTATATATATATATGTAATTCCTGGAGAAACCATGCTGAAGCTTTTGGAGAAACCATGCTAAAATATCTATGTGAAATTTCTGGAGAAACCATGATAAAATTCCTATTATATATATGTGTACCTTGATGAGAGAGCAAATATCCTGGGTGCTTGTGCTAGGCAGCAGCAGATATGCTGCATTTATTTGGTCTGAATGGTGTCTTTTTAGCATATTTGCTGCTAGAATAAGGTGTGAAGGTTGTTCAAAACAATAAGTTAACGTGGAGTTAATAGATGTGCTAAAAAGTTACAACGGAGGAAGCTTTCAATGGTATTAGTCAACAACTCAATCTTTCGATGGTAGTTTTCTAAAGATTCAATCTTTTAATGGTACTGAACCAATTTTCCCAAAAAAATAATACAATAGTGTTGACTAGTCGGTCGCATCTTCACACAGTCGCCGCAGTTGGGTTGAGAGGAGAGAACAACGACCGATGGGTTGCAAATATGGAGTGGTGTAGTTTTCGATTTGGAGCGGGGCCTACATTGTGAGAATTAGACAGATTCTTAGGGTTTAATTGCAATTTAATAAACTTATAGTTGCAATTTGATCTTTGGGGTCAATCTGTATAGTTTAAGTAACTACAATATGACCCTTAAGTTTTTATATTATATAATTATGCACGTTTAGTTGATACGAAATGCATATTTAATTCATTCATAATGCATATTTGTTATATTCAAATTTTATATATACAATGATGCATATTTAGTTCACTAATGGTGCATATTTAGTTTATGGATAATGCATATTTAGTTAATACGAAAAGGTTTGAATATATATACATAGATACTTGATGATATCTCGTCTCTATCATTCACCCCTCTCGAAAAGGATTTTCCCTCGAACCCAGCACATCTTCAACCAACGAGATCACATCTTGCTCGCTATTCGAGTAGAAATATGAAGAGACCAAGAAGTCTTATGGCTTCGAATCTGGCACATCCTCGTCTCCAACCAACAAGACCACGTCTTCGCTCGGCTATCACAAGTGAAAATACGCCGAGACCAAGAAGACTCTCGACCTCCAGTGGGCTTCACACTCGCCTGTCGCATAAGTCTTCTAGATATCGCAGCCCAACTGGACTGACTAAGAGGTTCTGTGGAACTTTCCCAAACGATCTGTTATGTTCACCTTTCTTAGCCTAACCTTGTCCATCAAAATCAAACTTTTTGCACCACGTGATTTGCCCTGACTTTCTTATCAAACCAGTTGTTTTTAGAAATATATTTTTTTTTTAAGCAGAGGCATTGACAGTGTTTTCGTCCTGGGTGCTCCTTACATCCATATTTGTCTAATCACTTTGTAATTAGACGTTGCCCTAAGTGTCTTGTTCAGGTTGTTTCATCCATAACCGCCAATGATAATGAAACCAAAGTTGCAGACTATCAAGCCCATTAGAAGGTACATCTAAAATTACGTGAGAGCCACCACACTCTGAATGTTCAACAACGTCCTGGACGCGACCATCGGCGGCCACTTTGATGAACCCTTCGGCTTCTTCGTCTCCATAATCATCAAAAAGAGGCAAAAAGAGGAAGACCAAAATATTCAGTCTTTCCCTCATTATCAAAACAAGGTGGACCCTCATACTCGGTCATCCATTGCGCGTCTGCAAAATTTGAGAATCTCGACTTGAAACGATGACACCCAACGCTGATCATCGGCGAATCGGTCCTCGTCTCGTGTCTCCATCGCGCCGAAAATACATACCTCGGAGACGGTGTCATCATCGCCACCGTCTTCAACCACAAAGGAGGCGATCGGGAGCGGGGCACCCCACGTGCCCCCTAGACGCCACCATCGCGAAGCCCACCGTGCACCCCATCGTGGGCATGTTTCGACCGATTGCTCTGAGCAATTGTATGAAGATCCAAACGTTTATCTTCGATCTTCGCAAAAATATCTACAATTTCACGACCCATCGCCTCGAATTACCGACCGAACCCCTCGGGTTGGCGACTCAGAGACATCGATGGCGGCGTCGCTCTTGTTGTCTGCAGCGCCTTTTCTTCGCGGCGGCATCGCGGATCGTTGTTGGTCTCTATATTCCAACTATTGTAGCGCAGTGTACGAATGAGATCTCTCTCTCAATTACGTAATTTTCTTATTCAAATTTAACTGCCTAGAAAAAAAGAGTAGAAATCCTTAAATAAGACTCCCCATAAACCTAGATTACTAGCTTGTCCAACATGACAAAAATTTAATAAAGTAATAAAATAAATAAGTTTCTTACAAATCAAGAATACCATTAATAGTAATTAAAACCAAGGGAATAAATAATAAATCAATGATACTAGACGATATCTTGTTCCATCAGTCATTCTCTTTCGCACGTCAACTTAGTACTCAAAAACAATCACGATCAGTTGTACGATGCTCTTTCTAAAGACAAAATGTAAATGTTTAAAGACAATGATTTGTGGCGACAAGAATTCTAAGGAAAACCATACATATTATATATAAAGAACTTTTTAATATTGTTTAGAATTCATTTCTTATTTCATAATATTTCATGAATGAAATTGTTATTTTCTTGTATATATTTATATTAATTTTCTTTTATAATAATTCGCTTTCCATGCAAATACACGGGTTGAATACTAGTTCCATATAATGCTCTCTACTTGAAGATCGATGAAAATCTAGTTTTGGATTAAGTCTTCGACTGATCACGAGGAAATAAAGTAAGTTTAAATAATTTCAGTAAATAAGAAATGTAATAATTGAGTGAGGAATAATTTTAATTTTTAAGTGGGACCCACCCATGTGGTCAATTGCACAAATTGGCATCTGAATTTTCCCAACCATGTGAATTGATCTGCTCTCATACTGCCAACTAAAGAAACACGTGAATACAGTTGTCTCCACTTGATCAGATTGATTCCTCTCTTCAGCCTATAAATAGGCATTCTTTCAGCAGGAAAAAGATGTACCAAAAATAAGAACGAAAGAGAGAAGAAAGAAAGAGAAAGGAAAGAAAAAATAGATTTATGTCCAAATATCGGATATAAAAATATCAAAAGAGAAGAAAGAAGTGATATTTTTATTTGTTTTATGATATTCTTGTATTTCTAAGTGTTCAATTCTCGACTCCATTATAGTTCGCCGGAGCTCGTAAATCTGGTGTGCTACAGATTTAGAGACGTTTGCCGTTGTATCTTTGGGGAAGTTACGCCTGAACCATTAGCTGACACACGGGGCTTATTCTTCTTGCGGAAAGAGTTTTACTCGCCTCGGCTAAAATCTTTCCGTTTTTCAGTTGTAATTTATTTATTTTTTCAGTTCTGTTGTAATTTTCTATTTTCAGATTATTTGTAAGAACTGAAAATTACATATCAGTTTGTAGGATTCCCGTGTAATTTCACACCAAATATCGCAAGAAGAATAGTATTTTCTACCAAACTGATGGCTTCCACCGGAGCAGGTTCCAGCTCTCAGCAGCCGATCAACAACTATGTTCAGCATTATCATCATGTACCTGTTGTTCAGGTCCCGACTGTTGAAAAACCCGAAAAATTCAACGGGCTTGATTTCAAGAGGTGGCAGCAGAAGATGCATTTCTACCAAACCACCTTAGGTTTGGCAAAATATTTGAAGGACGATCCCCCTCTTGTTGCTGAAAATGAAACTAACGCTGAACTACGCGTTGCGTACAAAGCTTGGGGGCAAGGTGAGTACCTTTGCCGGAATTATGTCCTGAATGGACTTAGTAACGAGTTGTACAATGTGTACAGCTCTGTTGGTTCTGCCAAGGAGCTTTGGGCTGCCTTGGAGAAGAAGTACAAGACCGAGGATGCTGGGGCAAAGAAATTTGTCGTCGGCAAATTTCTTGACTTCAAATGGTTGACACGAAGACTGTCGTGTCACAAGTGCAAGAGTTCCAGCTGATCTTGCATGATATCCATGCTGAAGGGATGACTTTGCGCGAGTCATTCCAAGTAGTGGCTGTGATCGAGAAGCTGTCGCCAGGCTGGAAGGACTTCAAGAACTATCTCAAGCATAAAAGAAATGAGATAAGTCTTGAAGACCTGGTTGTTCGTCTCCGTATTGATGAAGACAACCGTAATTCATCGGGGAAAACACCGATGATAGAAGCTCGTGCCAACTTATTAGAGCAAGGCAATTCGAGCAAAAGGAAGTTCCTTAACTAAAGGAAGCAGCCCGTTAAGGTTTGGAAGTTTACTGGCAATTGCCACAACTGTGGAAAGCCGAACCATATGGCCAAGTACTACAGGAAGACAAAGAAGGTTGGGCCAAAGAAAGGGCAATCAAGTGCCCTTGTTGCTGAACACGGCCCTGTGCCGGGTGAATTGACCGACTTTGATATATCGGTTGTGGTGTTTGAAGCCAATTTGGTGGATAACCCAAGGGAGTGGTACATTGATACTCGTGCCACTCGTCATGTGTGTTCCGATAAGGAGGTGTTCTCTGAATACACTCCTGCTGCGGGTCAGAAACTTCACATGGGAAACTCCTCCACGTCTGATGTGGCTGGAGTTGGCACGGTAGTGTTGAAGCTCACTTCTGGAAAGGAGTTGAAGCTTAAGGATGTTCTGCATGTCCCAGACATCCGCAAGAATTTGGTCTCCGGATCTCTTCTTGTTGAGCATGGATTTAGGCTGGTATTTGTTCAAAATGAATGTAATGGCCGTGAACCGTGTAACCGTTTCCAATGATAATGAAAAGCCTATTTTTATTTATACCGTTTAGTGCTCTGATTTATGGCACATTAGATTGGGACATGTAAATCTAAATGCAATTAAACGGTTGATTAATTTAGAATTAATTCCTAATTCTAAAATCGAATCACATAATAAATGTGAAATTTGTATTGAAGCAAAAATGGCTAAGTTGCCTTTTCACTCGATGGAAAGAAGTACTGAACCATTACACTTGATCCATACTGATGTA